AAAATGTGAGTGTATTTGGAGAGAGAGGGAAAGAGGAGGTGGGAGGAGGGACATACAGAGTGATTTGGCCCAGGTCCCGAACCCTCTAGGGATGGCCTTGCTAGATACCTCCTGATTTTGATTTAGAATGAAATTGATGTGTTTGTCTACCATAAAGACAGATCGGGGAACGCTGCCAAAAATGGAGGATTTGGTTGTGACTAGTTCTTGAAGTATAGGCCTTTTTTATCTCCTAGATTTATATCTCCATGAAGCCTGAGGCCATAAAATGTAAACAAAGTTAAGTTTGATCACACTTCTTCCTACCTCCCCCTTGCAGACAAATGTCATGCAGATTTAACAAGGATGAACTGGGACTTTAGGTTACTGAGTCATATGCTAATTCACAAAATAATTTACCCTCCCAATTACAATATCACCATATCCTGCGCTATTGTTCTGGATACCACGTGCCTTAAATTGGAGATTGAACCCTGGGGCTGCTTCAGTTGAACATGAACTAGCCTGACAAAGGCCCCAGGCTAGAAAGCAAGATGTCTATTTTCATTGTCATTTAATGGAAATTCAAGTAAGGAAATATTTATTGAACCATCTACTACTATTAAGACATTGGGGGGGGGCGGAGAATAAGATACAAAAGTGAACAATCAATCAACAAACTTTTGTTAAGAATCTACCATGTGCCAGGCACTGTGTTAGGCTGGGGCAAAAAGACAATCACTTCGTCAACTAGTATTTATTAAATGTCTACTACATACCAGGCACTGAGCTATTCCCTGGAGATAAAAATAAAGGCAAGAGATAGTCCCTGTTCTTAAAGAGCTCAAAGTCTAAGGGAGAAGATAACACGCAAACTTCTTTGCAAAAATAATATATGTACAGGGTAAACTGGGGTGGCACAGTGGCTAGAGTGCTAGGCCTACAGCCAGCACGACTCATCTTCCTAAGTTCAAATCTGGCTTCAGACATTTACTGTATGACCCTGGACAAGTCACTTAACCCTGTTTGCCTCAGTTTCCTCATCTGTAAAATGAGCTGGAGAAAGAAATGGCAAATCACTCCAGTGTCTTTTCCAAGAAAACCCCAAATGGGGTCATGAAGAGTCAGACATGACTGAAAAATGGCTGAACAACAAAGGGAAAGCACTAGCTTTAAAGGGGGTCTGGAAAGGGTTCTTGTAGAAGGTGAGACATTAGCTGAGAATAAAAGAAAGCCAGGATAGAGAGAAAAAGAGGGAGAGCATTCCACTCAGTGCAAAGGCCTAGTCAGGAGACTGGAGTCTCCTGTGCAAGGAACATCAAGGAGACAGTCAGTACATGGGGGTGAGTATGATGTAAGAGGACCAGAAAGGTAGAAAAGAGCCACGGTTGAGGCTTTAAAAGCCATACAGAGGATTTTATGTTCGATCTTGGAGGCATTAGGGAGCCAACAGAGTTGACTGAATAAGACGCTGTCAAACTTGACTTGAGGCGAGGTCAACTTGACAGCTGAGCAGAGGTTTGACTAGCATGAGAAGAGACCAAAAGTAGGCAATTACAATAGTTTGTGTGTGTGAAATAATGAGAGTCTGTACCAGGGTGTCAGAGGAGAGAAGAGGGATTACATGAAAGATATGAAGAATGTAGAAATGAGAGAATTTGACCATTGATTGGATGTGAGGGGACGAGAAGGGAGTTGAGAATGATACCTAGGTTGGAAGCCTGCATGAGTAGGAAAATGGTGGTACCATACCCAATAGAGGGAAGTTAGGAAGAGGGAAGGGGTTCAAAGAGAAAGATAAGTTCAGTTTTGGACATGTTGAGTTTAAGATGTATTTGAGACAAAGACGAGTGTGGCATAGTCCCTGCTCTCAAGTAGCTTACCTTCTGGGTCCAGACTGTGGAGATCATGGAGCCCAATCACCTTATTTCACAGACACCAACTTCTAAAAATATCAAAACCCACGTTCTTTGCTTATAATAAGGATTCCTCAGACCCTTACTCAGAGCAAATTTGTCTTTAGTCACAGTCCTAAGAAACTTGGATATCTGTTTTCCCATCTTTTAATCTATCAGAAGCAGTAAATTAGAAAGAAGATGCTATAGGCAGTCACAATGACAGAATCAAGGAGTAACCAGCAAATGGAAGAAGAAGAAAAAAAAAAAACCAAAGAGGCAGATGCAAGAAATCATAAGCATTGAAGCCTAGGGCCATTTAGCATAGGGACAAAACAGGTTTACCACACACCTCATTAGCCCCTGAGGATATGGCTGTGCTAATAAAGAATACTCATATTCACAAGCCTGAGTCATCCAGAAAAGGTTAAATAATGTTCAGTATGTGCTGGCAGATGAGGGGCAGTGTGACTTAGTGGGTAAAGAGCCAACCTCAGAGCCAAGAATACCTGGATTCAAATCCATCCTCTGACAAGTAAATAACCTCTCAGTTCTCTAAGCAACATTCTGAGACTAGAAGTTTCAGAGATAGTGCGGCCTTGCATTGAAAGAGGGAGTTTCCTCACCCAGGAGCCTCTTCTACCACTAGAATCCTAAGGAGGCCCTATTCCCCATTCTTTCTGGGGTTGGAGGTGAGGAGGGGTGAAGAGGAGGGATTCAGTGAACAAGATATTCATTTGGGAAAGATTTCTTCAAATAATACAGGACAAAGGATTGGGTTTTAAGAGAGCAGACTTCAGTTACTTCAAAAATTCATGTAGGTGGAACACTGTGTCCCTGCCCAGTGATGTCAAAGTCATTGTCATTGAACTTACTTGTGTTTTAGAGTCTTTGTCTATTAAATGAGAATAATAATATAATAACTTCTATTCCTGCCTCATGGGATTGTTGGACAGATGGATTAGAGAAAGGGTAGCCTTAGGGAGGAGGGGAAGATAGAAAAAGTTAAGGATACAAAAAGTATTATTATTCATTCAGTTCAGTCCAACAAACATTAATTGCCTGCTGTGTGTAAGGCATTATGCTAGATGCTGATTAATGTTAATGGGACTTTAGCCTTATTTTCCATTTAGCAGCCTTAGTAATCAGCACCCCCCTTGAGAGGCCTTGTCAAAGTTCAGTATGACTAAAATCTTGGCCAGAGATGGACGGAGAAGCAAGAAATCTGATTCTTTGTTGAATCCTTACCACTAACTCACCCCTCCACTCCACCGCATCCCACTCCAATCCCAACCAACATTGTCCAATTTACCTTAACATCTCTCCCATTTGTCCCCTCCTCTCCACCCAGATAGCCATGCCCCTAGTTCAGGCCCTCATCACCTCTCACCTGGATTATTTCAATAGCCTCCAATTTGGTTTCCCAATCTCAAATCTATCTCTTCTTGAATCCATCCTTCACCCAGGTGCCAAAATAATATTCTTAGAGCACGTTGAACCAAATCACTCATCTGCTCAATAAGTTTCATTGCTTCTAGGATCTCATATGAACTTCTCTATTTAGTATTTAAACCTCACTACAATCTGGCTTGGTTACATATCAATATAAATCCAGGCTTATTACATACCAGTTCCCTTTACACACATTATGATCTTATCCACATGAGTTTTCTTGCAGTTCCTTACACTCAACATTTGTCTCCTATCTCCAAGACTTTGAATAGGTTGCTCCTCATGCATGGAATGCATTCCCTCCTCACCTCTGCCTCCTGGAATCTCTAACTTCCTTCAAAATCAACTTAAGTATCACTTCATACATGAGGCATTCCTGATTCCTATCTCCCACTCCCACTGCAGCTGTTTGTGCTTCCCTTACCCTAAAATAATTCTATTAATTTTGTCTATAGTTATATGTGTACACATTGCTTCCTGCAAAAGAACATAAGCTCCCTGAGGGCAGGTGTTGCTTTATTTTTGTCCCTTTTTTCCCCCTAGTGCCTTGCAAAGTGCCTAGGACATAGTGCTTATTCAATACTTGTTGGTCGATTAAAAAAAAAACCCAACTGTGTGACCTTCAACAAAGAATATTTGCTTTCTGGACCGAAGGAGGGGGAGGTTAGATTAAATGATCTCCAAGATCCCAATTAGCTCTAAAAGTCTATGGTTCTTTGATTGTTTTTAGTGAGCATTGAAAAAAAAAAAGATATTGTATAACGAAACCCTTTGAATGAGAAACAATATAAGAATGTAGACCACTAAAAAAATTATTTAATCTAGCCCTTTTATTTTATAAATGAGAAAGTTGAAGCTGAGAGATTGTTGAAATGCTGTACTTAATGAGCTTTGAAACAGCAAAATGTACTTTCAGATCAATTCAACAAACATACATAAGTGCCTACTGTATACAAGGTACTATAAACCCAGAGGTGTCAAATGCACCCAGGACACCACCAACAACATACAACATATACTCAGTAGTGTAGTTAAACAAGACTTAAACGTATTTGGGAAAATTTTAACAAAATAAATAAAAATAACAGGAGCACATAGATAATGTTAATATGCAGTTTTCTAAGTCAATATATAGCCCCCCCTGGGATCCTAATACGCGGATTTCTTTTTGAGTTTGACACCACTCCTGTAAACTATTACCAATAGTCAGCTTTCCCACAGCCACAAGGCTAACAAGTAAAAGAGCTGAGATCAGAACCCAATCTCAGGATCACATGATCATAGATTTAAAGCTGGAAAGACCTTAGCAATCATCTAGTACAAGCCTTTCATTTTAGGGGTGAAAAAACTGAGACACAGAAAGGTTAAATGATTTGCCAAGGTCACACACACACAGTGGCAGAACTAGGATTTGAAACCAGGTCCTCTGTCTTTAAATCCAGCCCACCTTCCAGTATTGCAATTAAATTCAATTTGACAAATATTTATTAAGTGCCTACCATGTACCAGGCGCTGTGCTAAGCACTATAATTTATTTCTTCTAGGAGTAAATCAGTTTCCTAATTGGTGGATAAGCCTCTCATGATTAGAACACTGATGTTTAATATTTATAAACAATATAAAGACTTGGTCATTTTCAGCACCATCTCCTCTTCTGCCACCATCGCTGGAGAAGTGGAAGGAGTGAACAGAACAAAGGGCCTCCACAAAACTTCGACGCTGATGCCTTATCTTGGTGTAGAAGTAACCCTGGACTAGGGGTATGTGAGCAGGTAAATATTTAACAACCAGCTTCTCAGAAGACAAAAAAAAAAGTATGCATGATACTCTTAAGTTTAGGCTGATTTATTAACATTTCCTCCCCTCAATTTCTTAAGTCTAGATAACATCAAAACAATGAGAGCCAGTTGGAGGTAGCTAGAGCACATGCCTGCCTTGGACTCTTGAAGACCATGCTGGTTGGGTTCTTTCTACCATGCTGAAAAATTTGCAAGGACAGGACTCACAGTAGCAGACAGTTTCTGCTTTCCCAGGACCTACTTGGCTAAGTATGGAGAAGCTCTTCATCATCAGAAGGTTAGCCACTAAATGATCATTTCTTTGGACGTGGCAACACATGAAACACATAAAAATACCAAATGGCCTTGCATATGGAATTGAAGATCATATACGTCCTTGTTATGTATTTAGTCTTATCTCCTAAATAAGATTGTACTTTTCCTCAAGGATAGGGTTGTTTTCTTTTTTGTTTGCATTGAAAAGGATACAAAAAGGTTTTGTTGTTATTGCTGAATCATTTTAGTCGTGTCTGACTCTTCATGACCCCATTTTGAGGTTTCTTGGCAAAGATGCTAGAGTGATTTACCATTTCCTTCTCCAGTTCATTTTACAGATAAGGAAACTTAGGCAAATGAAGTTAAGTGACTTGCCCAGCTAGTAGGTGTCTGAGAGTGGATTTGAAGTCATGAAGATGAGTCTTCTTGATTCCAGGCCCTGCACTTTATCCACTGTGCCACCTAGCTTCCTCTAATTACAAAAGGGTAATACACAAATATACTATGGAAAGAACTCTACCTCTGGATTCAGAGGACCTGTACCCAATTTCCCTCTGATACTCACTACCTGTGTGATGTTGGGCAGTCACTGAATCTCCTGGGCCTCTTAGTCCCTTTGTATGTAAAATGAAAGAGTTGGGCCAGGTGACCTCTGATGTCTTATGAGGCTATGACTAATAGTTGACATCTATATTGTACTTTCCACTACACCCCAACTGCCTCTCAAAATAGTCTGAATTGAGGTGCTAAATTGGAGCTTTAAGCTACTTGTGAGGAAGTTGAGAGGATTTGGCCTAGAGGAACTGAAGAGGGCCTCATGGACAAGGGGAGCCTGAGACCAGGCTTCATAGACTCTGGACCACAATGGTTGTTGAATTCAGGAAGATGTGGTTCAAATCCCTTCTGACAGGACACTTATGGGCTGTGTGGCCCTGAGGATTTCACTTGATCTGCCTAAAATTCAGTTTCCCCATCTGTAAATGGGGAATAATGAAACCTCTTTCTAGTCCCTATCTTAGAGGGTTTCTGTAAAGATTGAATGCAATCACACATGTAAAGCCTTTTGTATACTTTAAAGTGACATGTGTGGCAACTATTATCATTAGAGGAAAGGATTTATAGATTTGGGCCTGGAGAAACTCCAAATGGGAAAGAAAAAGAAACGCTATAACAAAATCCCATTGGGATCTTATAATTAGACATTTAAAGCTGGAAGGGACTTGAAGGTAATTTAGTCCAATCACTTCATTTTAGAGATGAGGAAACTGAGGCCAAGGAAAATAAGTGACCTTCCAAAGGTCACATGACTCCTCAGCAGAAAAAGCCAGGATTTGAACCCAGGTCCTTTGTCTCCAAATCTGGTGCTTTACTTAATGCCAAGCTACATTAATCCTAAGAATCCAGCAAGCTATCTAGTAATAAACCTGCCAAGAATTACAGAGATTTAACATGAATTAAATGCTCCAGAGTCATGTTTGTTATCATTCTCTCCTCCCCCTCAGGCAATCAGCCATAAAATGTACCTGGGTTATCTTTTATCTGTGGCATACTTATCAAGTACAGAGAACTGGCTCTCCATTTCCTTTCATCTTTCCCTTGCTTCTTATTTTTCCAATTTCTCCCTTCTTTTGGCCTTTCGTTCTTGCCCATACTTCCTTGGTAAATTGATAGATTGGACAGCAGCTCCAAAAAAAGTCAGTCATTTTCGGTGCTGTCTGGGAAATTTTTGAATTCAGGGTGACCCCACTGTAGATCTGGGTCAATGCCAGGAAACAGTCCTCTAAGCAGTCATAGATGTGGAGTGTTTGCAGGAGGGAAGGGGGCTGGGGGAGGGGAGGTGTTAAACAGTCAAATGAAACAAGGAGGATTTCCCTTCAAAGAAAGTAGGCCAGTAAGCCCAGGGGAGGTACAAAGCCAGGAATGCTAAATTCACTAATTCCGAAAAGAGTGACTGGCCCTCAACCTGAAACATATTGTAAGCATTATGACCGGTAGGTAGCATTTATCATGAAACCTCCAGCAGCAAAAGCTGACATATGAAAAGAAAAAGGCCTAGGGGCTTTACAAGCCTGTGAACTATGAGGCACCCAAGTATCAGTGAAAAGCTGTCCCTCAATTAATGTTGGGTAGTTCAGGGAAGCTCCAGGGATAGCAATTTAAGATCTGAGGATCCCTGGAAGCATAGACATAGAGCTGGAGGGACCTCAGAAGCTAACGAGTTCAATCCTCTTATTATACAGATAACAAAACTGAGACTTAGGGAAGATACAAGACAATCCGTGTCTTGGCTCTGGGAATTCTCTTTTGGTTGTCCCTCTTGGCTTTCCCTCCTCCACTCGGACTATTGACCTCCCTGACTTCTTGCAAGTCCCAACTAAATCCCACCTTCTACAGGAAGCCTTCCCTAACCCCTTTTAGTTCCAGTGACTTCCCTCTGTTTAATTCTTCCCTATTTCTCCTGCATGTAGCTAGCTGGCTTTGGTGTTTGCACATTGTCTGTCCCATTGTACTGTAAGCTCCCTGAGGGCAGGAGCCATCTTTCACCTCTTTTTGTATCCCCAACACTTAGCACAGTGCCTGGCATGTAGCAGATGCTTAATAAATGCTTGTTGATGGATTGATTGATGTTGTCCTTCATTCTTGAAGAGGACCGAGACATCGGGAAGGAGATGTCATGACTTGCAAGTGAATTGGATTTAATTGAGGTAGGGCTGTGCAAAGTCACCAGCCTCACTGTCTCCCCTGGAGCCATCTGTGTCAAGTGGCAAGATACAGCTCAGGATGACTGGAGATGGCCCTGGATGCAGTGAGAAGCTGTGGCCTTTTTGAACTAAGGTCTCTCCCAGGTCTCAGTTTGTCTGAGGCAATGCTCATTCAGTGATCAAGGCAAGGCGAAAATGAGGAAAAGAGTGGCCTCTTTCACCTAGTCAAAAAATAAATTCAATCTGGGAGGGGGAGATGCTCAAGGCTTCTGGCCAAAACAGAAACAATAGCTATTTACACTTACTCTGAGCCGTCAGAATCCAAACAACGACAAAGTGAGACAAATTGAAATCTGGGAAAGACCTTAGCTTAAAAAGGCCAAGGTTTCCCACTGCATCCAGGGCATCTCCAGTCATCCTGATCTGTATCTTGCCACTGGGCCCAGGTGGCTCCAGAGGAGAGAGTGAGGCTGGTGACTCTGCACAGCCATTCCTCACTTTAATCCAATTCACTTGCAAGTCACGATATCTCTTTCCTGATGCCATAGTCCTCTTTGAGACTGGAGGACAAACAACAACCTGTGAATAGGAGTAGCTGCCCCACTGAGGCCCCAAATGGCCAGTTCCAGTTGGGCAACACAGTGCCTTCTTTCCTTCCTTCCCTCCTTCCCTCATCTCTCTCCTCTCCCTCTGTCCACATAGAGCATCAGACACTTCCCTGTGGGTGCTCTGCCAAAAGGAAGATAAATTTTGATCTCTGAAACCTAGCCAGATCTCTTGGGGTTCATAGGCTAGATTTCTTTCTCGTGGACCATGTCTTAAACCCAAATAAAAACCCAAATAAACCCTGGCTCTCATTAACTGGCCAACGATGGGTCCCAGCCCAAGCCTCACTTGATTGATTGATACACAAGCTCAGAAGGACAGTAAGCATCAGAGGTGAGATTTGTACCCAGATCTTTTGACTCCCTGGTTTCAATAGAGCTTTCGTTCATCTGAAAAACAATTTTGTGTGTCTAGTCAGCATGTCACTAACAAATTTCCCACCAGAGGAAAAATAATAAAATTGTATCCACTACCTTCCCCCTACTATCCTAATAATATATCATGCTTGGGCTAGTAGATGAATATTGTTTTTATTTTTCTGTATCTCAGCTTTGCACCCCAGAGGCACTCAGTACCTGTATCACTGGACAAGTCATTTCATCTTCCTGTGCCTCAGTTTCCCCATCTGCAAAGTGAAGGGATTGAACTAGAAGACCTCCAAGGTTTTTCCAGCTCTAAATCTGTTACTGATTAATCAATCAACAGGCATTTTTATTCACTATTTACTGTACACTAGCACTTCATGTTAGGTGCTGATGATACAAATAAAATAACTCAGACAATCCCTTGCCTCAGTCTCTATTCTAGCAGAGGCTCCTATCTCACTTTTGGCTTGGCTTGATTTTAAGAACCTCTCTGTGGGCAAAAGCAGATGATTGAAAAGAGCCATAAATTAACCCCAGTGGATATTGTTTGGTAAATGCTCTCTGGTTCCTTCTGGGTCCTTGCTGCCGAGATGAAGGCAGTGTGTGTGGCCTGTGGGATCAACTGGGAGATAAAGGAAATATCTATTGAATTCAAGAACTGGGCCTCAACCCGCAGCCTCCTTATACACCAGATCACACCTTGTTGTAATGGTCCTATTGAAAAACCTCCCCATGAGTACCGCAGTGGGTCAGAACACAACCAAATATGTTATGGTGGTCTACTGAAAACCCGTAGACTTCTGATGATCGCTGTGCAATTTTGCACCTGGAAACAAAGGACCCATCCCCAGTTAAGCAGAAGTGTCTTTGACTTGAAAAATCCTATTTCTTTCATCATTTTTTTATAACATGGGACTTACTTAGCCCTTCACCTACCTGTTGAGCAGTTCCTGGAAAGGGGTCAAAATCCTAGCAATAGAACTGCCATGGGGTTAGTGTGCAGACTCCCAGCCCTGATTAGAGTAATCTGAGACAAACCATAACTTTATCCAGAGGCATAAAGAGCCTAATTCATGGCCTGAAAAATGACCTGAAGTTACAAATTGTTTTTCCTTTCAGGAGTGGCTAAATGAGCCTCTATATCGACCGAGCTTTTGTGTATTTTTGAAAATACAGCATTAAGTCATGTTAAAAAACAAACCGTGGGCCTTTTAAGGTACCAATTGTTATGCCCTAAGATCTATGGGCTTTGCTGAAGTTTCTGATCAGTGGTAATTGCTAGGAAAAAAGAAAGCTGAATCCTGACTGTACAGAAACCAGATGGTACTGGACCCACCACAGCTGAATTGAAGATGAAATTGACTTTTTAAATCAGCTAGCAAGTATTTGCAGAATGTTTGATTTCCCCTAGATGAAAAGTGTTCTTTCCTTCTTCAGATTTGCCTGAAACACTTTATCTGGATCTCTAGGCCCCCATTACATCCTACCTTGCATTATTCTTCTCTATGTAAATTTTCTCCTACACATCTAGTAATGATAAAAACCATACAAACTTTTTCTAGATCTTTTCCTTTCCCAGTTCTTCATCTAGGTCATTCCTACTAACCCTGAGTGTCCCCCAGGGCTCTCTCCTGAGCCCTTTTCCTTTCTCCCTCTATACCACTTCACTTGATGACCTCATTAGCTCTCATGGATTCAATTATCACCTCTATTTGATGATTCTTAGCTCTACTTAGCCAGCCCTACCCTATCTCCTAATCTCATATCTCCAACTGCCCAATGAACATACCAAATTGGATGGCCTAAAGACATCCTAAACTCAATGTTTCCAAACTGAATTCATTATCTTTCCCTAAATCCTCCCCTCTCTTGTCAAGGATACTAGTCATACAAGCTCACAACCTAGGGGTCATCCTCAACTACTCACTCTCTCATCCTCATATCCAAGCTGGTGCCAAGACCTGTCAATTTTACCTTTGTAGCATCTCTCACATCTGTCCCCTTATTTCCTTTGATACTGCCACTGCCATGCTACAGCCTCTCATAGCCTCATACCTGGACGGTTGCCATGGTCTGCTGGTTGGTCTCCCTACCTTTAAACTTGGCTCCTTCCTACCTTACCCCTATATACACTGCAATTCAGTGACACTGGCCTCCTTGTTGTTTCTAGAACAAGACATTCTCAGACATTGCTCTGACTTCCCCCCCACCATCCTCTCCATCCTCATCTCTGTACTATTGCTTCCCTACTTCCTTCAAGTCCTAGCTAAAATCCCACTTTCTGCAAGCAGCATTTTCTCAGTGCTGCCTTAATCTAATAGCATCCTTTTTTTGATTATCTCCAATTTATCCTGTTTGATTTATACATAAGTATTTTCCTCTTATCTACCCCTTAGACTTTGAGATCCATGAGAGCAGGGACAGTCTTTTGCCTTTTTTTGTATCCTCAGTGCTTAGCACAGTGCCTGAGTAACAGCATAGTCTTAATAAATGTTAATTAACTAATTGCTTTAAAGTTTGAACCTTACAACAATATTGTACTACAGGCAACATCATCCACATTTTGTAGTTGAGAAAACTATGTCCAGAACTACAACTGATGAATGCAAGGCTGGCCTTGCCAGGAACGTAGAGGGTTCTAATTGCATGTGCCTGGGGACATCTCCAACCATGTGCACCCTGCTTCTGGTATCAATGACAGCAACAGCTGCTTCTGGCCTCATCCAAGTGCTCCCTTTTTTCCTCCTCAGTCTCTGCCCTGACTCCAGAAGTACTGATGTACTCCATCCCTTCAGTGGTGAAATTTTCAGCAGCATAGGTGGCTCAGTGGATAGGGCACTGGGCCCGGAGTCAGGAAGACCTGTCTCCAAAGCCAGCCTCAGTTCTAGTTCTGTGACCCTGGGCAAGTCACTTAATCTCTCTGTTCACCTTACCCCAAAGGAGAAAGAAATGGCAAACCACTCAAGTATCCTTGCCAAGAAAACCCTGTGGACATGGCATGTTATGATCTATGGGATCACAAAGAGTCAAATACAACTGAATAACAATAACAACACCCAATATGCACTTCCTATCTGACTCTCAGCCCCATCTATCACCCCTGCTACCTTTAGTTGCCAGTCAGTCTTTCAGGGTGTAGAAACCTTGTGGTGACCCAATGATCTCTTCTTTACTTCAGGGGAACTTTCCCACTCTCCCTTGGTCCCTAATGATGGCCTCACGTGGAAAGATTTCTAGTATGATTCTGGCGAAGTGAGATGTCCACAGTTACACAGCTAGTAAATGTCAAAGGCAGGATATATGCCCGGCCCTTCCATAGCCTCTAGTTAATGCGGTGGCTTTTGCTCGACCTAAGTTTAAATCCTACCCCAGATTCTTACTGGCTGAGTAAACCTAGGCAAGTCACCATCTTTCTCACCCTGACTCCTCATATATAAAATGCAAAGGGGGTGGACTTAAAGATCTCTAAGGTCCCTTCCAACTCAAAATTAATAACTCCAAATCAAGCCCCTATCCACAGTACCATGCTGCCTTTCCTTCTTAATATTATAAGTTCCCTTGAGGTCAGCTGTAACCCTAGCACCTAGAATGTAGATTACAGGTGCTTCATCAATATTTACTGAACTTGTTGAATACATTTTTGGAAAAGAAGCATCAGATTTACCAGGATAAACATGACCCTGGAGTCAGACCACCTAAATTCAAATCTCACTTCTGAAATGACCTTGGGTTCAGTATCCTGGGCTGTCTCCATGAGGACCTGATAGGAGATGGCGTCAAGGTGATGGTGGGGTTTGACTTGCCTGTATATTCTACCTCCTGTCTCTCCCTTAGAGCACCCCATTGCTTCAGCTCGGTTGGCTTGCCTGCACTGTGGGTGGCACTTGTTTTACAGCAGGTAGGGATGATTGGCCCCTTGGCCACAGGAGTTGCTTCCATGGATGATGGCTGTGAGGGCTGGGCTGGAAACAAGACCAGGGATCAGGGGAGGTACTGCCACCACCAGGTTCCTGTGACTCTCTGCCTGCTGGTGGTAGTTGGTCAGAAGTGAGCAATTAAAAATAATAAACTAAACCTCAAATGTGGCCATTTTTATATAATCAGAAAGTAGCCAAGGCTTATGCTAATGGTCTGAGACTTTCAATTAGTCATGCTATGTCCCCCCCATTAGCATAAATGGCCAAGAATTATAGGCATTGAACTTATCCAGAATATTTAGGGAATAGGAGTGTTCTGGTAAATTAAATGTTCTGTTCAATAAAAATTTGCCATAAACACTCCCAGAGCCAACAGTGTGGAACATGCCCTCAAATCAACTTTTTAAGATTTGTACCACGATGTACACATGGCTTATTCTGGAGAGGGGCGTTATTTGTGATCACTGGTTGTTTTCTTTGGGGCCTTAGCTTTCTACATGAATAGTTGCTGAATTTAGGGAGCATCCTTGGAAGTGACGAGGCACTGTGAGCCAAGAGATATACCATACAATTGTGTGCCTGGTTGAAGGGCTGCCTCGATACTGGACATAGCAACGGATATGGACCCTAATCAAGGACAGTTAGTTCAGACGGTACCTGTGAGCTATAAGAAGGGTGCTGTGGCTGTGGACAGTTGGGGGGAGTGTAAAGTGATAGGAAAGATCTTCAGGATAGAGAACATTTCAGCTTCTGTATTGTGTGAGTCTCTCCTCCCCTCCTTTCCCTTTCCTCTCCTCTCCTCCTCTCCCCTCCCCTCCCCTTCCCTCTCTCACTGAATTTCTCTTCAAAAGATGATTTCAGAGCATGTTCTATGTTGTTTGGCCTGGAAATGTATAGTTTGCCCCAGCTGCAAAATAAATAAATAAAAATAAAAATAAAGGTATGGCTGTACGATAAGGTGAGATGCAATAGATCCTGAGCTTTGCTTTGGAGGGAATTGATTCCTGAAGCTAGTTTATTTCTCTCTCTTTGGGAAGTAAGGCCTCAATTTTAATTTCCTCATTTGTAAAATGAGGGAGTTAGCCTAAATGACAGTGAAGGCCACTCTCAGTTCTAACAAATGTTAGAACAAATAGTATTCTATTACTAGATAATCTCTAAGAACCCCTTCCAGTTCTAATATTCTATATGGTTTTTCTATTACTGGAAATTTGGAGTTGTCCTACATTTCGAAATAAATAGGAATTCACGTGTACCTAAGCAATATGTAGACACAGTTTTAAAGTGTTATATTATGTTGACTTCCCTTATTTAAATCATAGTCATTTCTAAACATATCCCTCGCCTGCACCTAT